TACTGTTAATTACAGTCACCATGCTGTACATGAAACCATCAGAAATTATTTAATTTTTTTTAAAGATTTTATTTATTTATTTGACCGACAGAGATCACAAGTAGGCAGAGAGAGAGAGGGGGAAGCAGGCTCCCTGCTGAGCAGAGAGCCTGATGTGGGGCTTGATCCCAGGACCCTGAGATCATGACCCAAGCCAAAGGCAGAGGCTTTAACCCACTGAGCCACCCAAGCACTCCCAGAAATTATTTTATATGCAGAAGTTTGTACCCTGTGATCAACATCTTCCCTATTTATCTCACTACCCAGCCCCTGGCAACCACCAATCTATTCTCTGTTTCTATGTATTTGGCTTTTTTAGATTCCACATGGAAGTGATATTATACATAATATCTTTCTCTGTCTTACTTATTTTACTTAGCATATTACTTTCAAGTTTCATTCATGTTGTCCTAAATGGCAAGATTCCCTTCCCTTTCATGGCTGAGTAGTATTTCATTGTGTGCGTATACATGTATAACACAGCTTCTTTATCCATTTATCCGTCAATGGACACTTAGGTTGTTTCCATATCGTGGCTGTTTTAAATAATGTTGCAATGGACGCAGTGGTGCATATATATTTTCAAATACCCAGAAGTGGAAGAGCTAGAATAAAGGGTAGTTCTATTTTTTTGTTTCTGAGGAAACGCCACACTGTTTTCCATAGTGGCTGCACCAATTTATATCCTCAATGACAACACCTGAGGGCATTTCACCTTATCCTCTCCATATCCTCTTTCTCCATATCCTCTATAACCCTTGGCATTTCTGTTTGTTTGTGGGGTTTTTTTGATAAATAGATACTGAATTTTATCAATACCTTTTCTCATCTGTTGAGACAACGATTATGATTTTTACCCTTAATTTTGTTAATGTGATATATCATGCTGATTGATTTATGGATATTGAACCATCCCTGCTTCTCTGGAATAAATCCAACTTCTCATGGTGTATGATCCTTTTAATGTATTGTTGAATTTGGTTTGCTAATATTTTGTGGAGGATTTTTGCATCTATGTTCATCCGGGATATCGGCCTGTAAATATTTTTCTTGTTACCACTTTTTGGCTTTGGTATCAGGGTGATGCTGGCCTTCTAAAATGAATTTAAGCATTTCTGCTCTTCAATTTTTTTGGAAGTTTGAGACGTATAGATAAATTAAATCTCTGAATACTTGGTAGAATTTACCAGCAGATCTGTCTGGTCCTGGACTTTTGCTTGGGGGAGGTTTTTTGATTACGGATTTAAAGATGGTATAATTTATGATGAGGAATGGTTTATGGAAGGCATGTGAACGTATACAGCTAGTTCAGATGTATAAACCATCACTGCGATCAAGTGGCTACAAATATTTTTATTACGGTTTGTGGATATGTTTTTGTAGTATGTGTGCATATGTATGTGCCTCGTGATCCTTCCCATTTTCTGCACTCATTCCTGAAGAAGATCATGTTCTCTCTCAGGATAGTAATGAAGTGAAAAATAATTGAATTGAAATCCTTTACTTTATGTGACGTATATGATTTTTAATGGCTTAAAATTAAAAAAATGCTTTTGACAATCTTAAGAAAATAGTGAACTTTTCCCTGGGTAAAGGTTGATATTACCATATTGGCTTGCATTTTTCATGGCTCTCCATGTAAGAAACAGACCATTTTAAATAATGGTTCTTTTATATTTTCTATGATGAGACTCTGCAGGCCAAAAAATAAAATGGGGTTATTTTCAATTTTGTTGAACTTGTTAGGTTGGTAAAGAGTACAAAATCTTTTTTTTTCAATTCTAAGAGTTTTATTTTCATTTATTATTATTATCATTATCATCATCATCATTATTAGTTTTTGATGTAGTGTTCGATGATTCATTAGTTGCTTATAACACCTGATGCTCATCATGACACATGTCCTCCTTAATACCCATCACCCAGTTACCCCAACCTCTGACCCCCTTCCCTTCTGTACCCCTCAGTTCTATTCCCAGAGTCCAGAGTCTCTCATGGTTTTTCTCCCTCTCTGATGACTTCCCATTCAGTTTTCCCTCCCTTCCTCTACGGTCCTCTGTGCTATTCTTTATACTCCACATATAAGTGAAACATGATAATCATCTTTCTTGCTCAACTTATTTCACTTAGCATAATCCCTTCCAGTTCTATCCATGTTCATACAAGTGGTAGGTATTCATCCTTTCTGGTGGCTGAGTAATATTCCATTGTAAAAATGAACCACATCTTCTTTATCCATTTATCTGTTGAAGGACATCTCATCTCCTTCTACAGTCTGGCTATCATGGACAATGCTACTACAAACAATGAGGTGCACCTGCCCCTTCTTTTTACTACATCTGTGTCTTTTTGGTAAATACCCAGTAGTTCAATTGCTGAGTTGTAGAGTAGCTCTATTTTTAATGTCTTTAGGAACCTCCATCCTGTTTTCCAGAGCGGCTGCACCAGCTTGCATTCCCACCAACAGTGTAAGAGGGTACAAAATCTTTTGGCAAATTTTTAGTTGCAATTACCAGAAACCTCAGCTTGCACTGCATTAAATAGTAAAGGGAATCTGGTTGCTTAAGCTAATGAAAAGTCCAGAGTGGAAGGTTTAAGGAAAAGTGATCCTGTCACCTATTATATCATGAAGATCCAGTTTCTACCTTTCCATTTTGACTTCCATTGCACTAGCTCCATATGAATGGAAGTTTTAGTGTGGATGCCAACAGATCCTGTGTTATATATGTTCCATGTACATGGTATTCATTCCTCACATTCTATCAGGAATTCTGAGATTCTTTCCATGTGGTCCAGCTTCAGTAATGACCATTCTTGACAGATTTCTACAGGCCACTCCAGTCAAGGAGGGGAATTTGGTGACTGGAGAATCCAGGGTCTTGCATTTCATCCCTGGAATTAAGCTGGAAGCAGAGTACCCAAAGCAAATTGACCAAACAGTATCTGAGAGCCTTGGAAGGAAAATGGGATAGTTTGGAGGAAATAATATAGATATCCTCTCTTCCATCAGTATCTGATGCTCTGAGTTAAGGATTATAGGAGGAAACAGTAAATGGTTCCAGGACAAGTCACTATAATCTGAGGTACATGAAGAATCAGTGCTTCTTATATTCGATAAACCTCTTATATTCGATAAACTTCTTTTTTTTCTAAGAAAAAATGGAAAATGGTAAAATGAAAGATGGTTTTCCTCACCAGAAAGGAATATTTAACATACAAAAATGCTCTGATAAAACTGGGCCCAGTTCATCTTTATATATAGTGTTAGAGTATTGATTTTTGTCACCAACCTTTGTCTTGGGTAGTTTCATGCTGCAGGGAAATGAGGAATGGAAAGACTACTGTCTGTGATCAAGAGATGATTTGGATACTTGACAATATATGAGATTGCAGTTGATTTTATTTTTCCAAACAAAAGTAAACCACACAGACATGTTCTCTCTTCCTCTGTCTGTCCATGCTGAAGGATGAGGATACACTAAATGGACCTGGACATCCACGGCCCCATTCATGCCGCCCAGGGAGGGGACCTCGGAGATCAGGAGTGACAGCAGCAGAGATGTTATTTGTTTCTTCCTTATCCATCCTTCCCACTGAAAGAGAAGTGCTATGAGGTTTTGTTTGATTTGTTTTATTAATTTTTTTAGAGAGCAAGTGGTGGGAGGAGAGGCAGAGGGAGAGGGAGAGAGAAAACATTTTTTGTTTGTTTGTTTTGTTTTTGGTTTGTTCTTGCTTTTGTTTTGTTTCTGGGAGAGAGACAGTCTTTTTCTTGTTTTTTTAAGAATTTATGTATTTGATAGACAGAAAGTGAGAGGAGAGAGAGCACAAGAAGGGGGAGCAGCAGAGGAAGAAGGGGAAGCAGCCTCCCTGCTCAGCAGGAAACCTGATGCAGGACTCGATCCCAGGACCCTGAGATCATGATCTGAGCTGAAGGCAGAGGTTTAACCCACTGAGCCACCCAGGTGCCCGAGAGAAAATCTTAAACAGACTCTGAGCCCAGCACAGAACCTGATACGGTGTTCCATCTCCCAACCCTGAGATCATGACCTGAGCCAAAATCAAGAGTCAGACACTTAGTCAACTGAACCACCCAGGAACCCCTGTTTGATTTGTTTTAAATTCTCTATGCCTAGGAGAGTTTATGAAGCTGTTCTTTGTGGAATTCTAAAAGGATTGTTGATTTGGAGTCAAGATAAATGAAGAGCTGCCCTGCGGGGCCTGGAGCTGAAGCTATTTCACCTCCTGCCCCCAGGGGGAGCTGTGATGCTACAGGCGGGAAGGATTTGAGCTATTGCTTCAGACCCTGGTTGAGCTGAAGAGCAGGATCAAGGGTGATTCCTAAGTATGTGGTGACACACTTTCTGAAATCGAGTTTGTGCACAGGGAGCTACCAGAGGTCTGCTTTGGACATATAGAGGCGCCTTTGAGTTACCCAAGAGCAACTTCAAGTATGTGTTTAAAATTCAGAGGAAAGTCTGAGATAGAGATGTAAACGTGTACCCTCTATGCTCATTCTGGTGACATGAGTACATTCCATGCACTCACGCTATATTTATATCATTTCAGTTAGGTTCTGAAATTATATACTCATAAACACATATATTTTACTACAAAAGTGATTTATGCTTTCAGGTTGACTTTAGCTGGTTTGAAATTGGACAGTTAAGAGTTTATTAACTGTTTGTTTGTTAATGGATATTAACAAGAGTTTACATTTGGGGATTTTGCTATATATTGCTGAGAATCATAGTTTTAAGGTGATTTCTGGGCCTCCTGTAGCATACAATCACATTTCCTGGGGTGTTGATATTTTGTCTCTTTCTTTCCATTCTCTGATTCACAGCTCACTGAGCAGGCACTTTCATGCTCTCTGATGCTTTGCATAGGCTTCTCGGGTCTTGGGTTGGCTGCTCAGAGCTCTATTAATAGGGTTTCTTGGGGATGGGGTCCGGGAGCATCAAACGAGTGACCAGCAGCACGATGGTGTCACAGCTCCAATTCCTCCTCCTCCTGGCGCTGGGCATCTCAGGTGAGAGGATGAGAGGAGAAAGATCTTTATAAAATTGGCAAATGACTTTACCAGGTGGTATGAATAAAACATTTCATTAAAACAGTTTGAGTACTTATGAAAAATAAGGAAACCTACATTTTTAGATACATATTTTAGTATACTAGTGAGACAGTGTATGGCCACTGTCCATTTGTGATTGCAGGTGTATCTGGGGACATCGTGATGACCCAGTCTCCAGCCTCCCTGAACGGGTCTCCAGGAGAGCGCATTGCCATGAACTGCAAGTCTAGCCAGAGTCTTCTATACAGCTCCAACCAGAAGAACTACTTAGCTTGGTACCAGCAGAAACCAGGGCAGGCTCCTAAGATGCTCATCATCTGGGCATCCACCCGGGCATCAGGGGTCCCCGACCGGTTCAGCGGCAGTGGGTCTGGGACAGACTTCACCCTCACCATCAGCAACCTCCAGGCCGAAGATGTGGGGGACTATTACTGCCAGCAGTATTATAACTATCCGCCCACAGTGCTTCAGCCTCAAACACAAACCTGCTCCCCAGGGCCATGGGGTCAGGGAGGCTTTGTTGAACCAGCTGCTTCCTCCCCGCTCAGCCTTGTTTCTCCCTAAGTTGTAGGAGAAGCCTTTGGGTGAATCATAGAAGAATGTATGAGTCTTAAGGGAAGATTGAGTGGATAAGCCGCTTCTATGTCTCTTGTAACAGGAGGTCATTTTGTGAAGACTGTAATGACTTGCCATGGGCTCTTGTCTACACCGTTCAAGATATTTTGGATCACCTGAATCTGAATTGTCCACACAGATGGGTTTATATTATTGACATGATCATGGCTTTTGCCGCATCTTGTGGAGAAGGGATCAGTGGGCTTCAGAGCAGAATGCTCCCCTGTAACATGACACTTCAGCATTCCCTGTAACCCTTTGGTCAGCTGCATAACTTGCCACCTCAAGACATGATTACTCAGTGGTGTTCTTAAACTGCCCTTTGCTCAGCTTCTCCTCTTTCTAATTGCCAGAGGCAATTAGAAAGGGAAAATGTAAATAGAAAGATAATATCTCACTGGATCCCAGTTGAAGGCTTGCAAAAACATTTGAGGTCAACTGAGAAGGGGC